AATGAGCTGGCGGGCAGTGGAGTGCATGTTTGCCAGCAGGCTCCGATAGTTAGCTCCACTGGACAGGGCATCTCCATAGATCTTGACCAGCCCAGGGGCATTAGAGGAAGCGGGAGGCAGGTAGTGATGTGATGAAGGGGTGGCAGAATGCGCCCATATTTCCCTCTCACGTTCTCCAATGGCACGGTCTCTGTCGCTGTTGGACCGGCCTCTCAGGAAAAGATGAGACAGCCGCTTGGCCCGGGACTGCTGATTGGCAGGGCGAGGGCGGAGGAAGGCTGGAGAAGGGGATGGAGAGGGTGGGGCAAGAGAAGCAGTGGAGTGAGAGAGGGAGGAAGGGACTGATGATGGGGCCTCTAGAAGGGAAGCGGCATCTGAGCTGGTTGTGGACCTGATTAAACGAAAGCAACAGGAAGGAGGTGATATACAATTCATACATTGTATACCACATATTAATCTGAAGTTTGTACAGTAAAGCAGCCATGCTAATGTCATGTATGCAAATCTTTCCATAATCTGCCCCCATTACTTGGAAAGAGAAATGTTCTTAGTAAACTGTTAGACCAATGACATTCAAGTTTGTTTGTCCATATTGATTAATTTATATAAAACAAATAATAAAATGAACAGTGCAATTCATAATACAATGACTTGAATATTCTATAATGATAAGTTCTATAATAGTTCTATAATTCTATAATAAAATTCATTTTAATATTTTTTTATTAAAAATAAAAAATAAATGTCAGGGTGGTACAACTGTACTGATATCATAATGAAGAAAAATAATGAAATGAATAGTAGTAGCAGAAGTAGTGATTTAGTATAAAAAAATATAAAAATTAATATATAAAAACTTGGTGCAACCAACATACAAGCAAGGACCCACATGAAAAAATAAATAAAAGAATAAATAAATAATATTGTCATTATAATCGCTCTTATTTTGAGTCTGCAAAGGTCAGATTTTTACTTTTAATTATTTTTACTTATTGACCTTATTGATCTTGATTGTTTGTCAAGGTCAATAAGTCTCTTAAAATATCAGATAATTTGCCTTTTTTGCCTTTGCAAAAGGTCAGGCAAGGTTAGTTCAAGTTGTAAAATGTCATACAAAATGTCATAAATATATTTTGAACCTTGCTAAATTTATTTTAAAAACCTTTTTAAAGGAAATGGTGAAGGAATGGTGAATGTTTACACACATGTATTCAAAGGTAAATGGAAAATATGGTGTGAGATTCTCCTTGATGGTTACACCACATTACACTTTTGGAGTCATTAAACTGAAACGTTTGTTGAAAATGTTATAAACGTTTTTCCAAATGAAACCTACATGTATACATTTCTAAGAACTTGGCGCATGTTTTAAACTTTTATCTTGGACACTTTTATTTGTCATTGATCCAGAGAGTAAGAGAAAGTTCAGAAAACTGACTTGACTGATGCTGCACTGGGCCAGCGAGCTCCCAGCTTGGCAAAGTGTTTCCGTGGAGAATTTATCCACAAGCCCACTGGGAAATGGAGCTTCCTAAATCGGGGACTGCCAGACTCCTCCATCTGAGGGAGTAAGAGAGAGGGAGGTGAGGACTGGACGGGAGTGTGGAGAATGGAAAGATAAAATGACAAAAATAAATGAAGAAAGGAAGGATCAGGGGGAAAAAGTAGGAAAAAGCAAGAAAGGGAAATGTCTTAACTTTCAGAGAAAGATAGATGCAGAGAAACACCAGAAGACCACTGACACAATATATCAATATTAGGCATCAAGCAAGACTTTAACATTTAAAAACATTTCATTTTCTCGATACGTGTTGTTATTGAGATTTATTCCTCTCCAAAATCAGATTTCGGCAGTGAATGACGTTCAGTAGACAAATGGCAGGAAAAGCTAGCGTCTCGTTGAATAATCAGGACGTGCAGTGTCATACGTTCTTCGTCATCTAAGAGTCTATGAGTAACGGAGCATTAACGCAGTTAGCGGGGAATGCCACAAAGTTGACAGGGCAGGCGGTGAATAGTTATGGCTCTGAGAAAAAGATTTATTTCACATTCATGTCTACATGTCTAATGAAAACCAGAGGTTTGGCACTGTTGCTCCTGAGCTAAGCAAACTCGTGGAAGTCAAGTAAGAGTCAAGTGGCTTCGCCAAGAGGCCATGACGAGGATATCAACCAACATGAAACTATCACTGCTGAGGATAAGCCATGCAGCCAAACCACATTCTATGAATATCATCCTTGTTGTACTTTGATTAAAAGCGCTGAACATCGCCTATATAATAACATACGTTTTTTTGGTCCTCCACCCTGACTGTGGACTTCACCTCCATGTATCCTCACAGACAGATGGGAAAACCCCTGAACAGACCCCCTAAGTGTCATATGTTCCTCAAAAGTGAAGTTGACCTTTATTATGTTGACTCTTTGACCATAATTGATTTCATCACATTCTACAGAGTAAATGGTGGATGTAGAACAACCAAGAAACAAAATTTACTTCTGGTTGGGAAAGGTATTCAGTATATGCTGACTACAGCTCCAAATCAGTCATTTTGCATCAGTAAAATGGTTTTTCTCACCATCAGATGATCTTAATGTGACTTACCCACTGTGACGGGCTTCCTCTTTATATCGGGATAAATCTTCGGATGTTGTTGTTGTTTGTGAAGTGTATTATAAAAATATAAAAATAAATACCAGTGGAGGTCGGTTCTGTGTTTCCTTATTCCAGAATAATTAGGTTTAAATAGTCCATTTTCTGCATGAGGCCTTGCTTTGCTTTACCGGATTTTGTCCTTTCAACCAGTTTTTTAGCATGTCTTTTTCATTTTCGATGTACAAGAAGGGTCCTCAAGTCCTTATTCTTGCTTTCTATTCTCTCTCGTTTCTTTCTCCCCTTTTCTGCGTCTATAGATAGAGAAGCAGGCCCATTGTTCTAAATGACAGAATTTCCTTCCTCCCCAATGGACAACACCTATATCCTGAAAAAGAGACAGAGAGAGAGAATATGAAGTATACGCATAAAGCCAAGTCAATGACACTGCTGTACATACGTACAAAGAGCAAGACGAAAAATGTTATAAGCACTAGTCAGGATGTCCATTATGTTCATTCAAAATCAAAACAGAGCCGGAAACTGTCTGACAGTTGGAGAACTCAATAGACTCGAGTCAGGACAGACGCCATATTGAATTTGACAGGATTAAATATAGTGCTACCCTGACTAATGTCTATAGAAACAAGCCTCAGGAAATATATATGAATGAATGGAAACAGTATATATGTTTATTACCCAAGGGACGAGCGCAAGACTAATTAACACTTGCCTCAGCATGTTTTATCCAACACTTGTTTTTTTGTGTGTGTGTTGTAGGGCTTTTGAAAAAAAGGAAACAGGAAACCTGGGACAGGATGTCAAAGACAGAGAGGCACCTGTAACCTCTGACCTTGTCAACAACAGAATGGTGTGTCAGGAAAGAAGAACCCTGTGTATATCCGTACATGTGAATGTGTCTATATCTATTTCCTATTTGTATACGTACAAGACTAAGAAAGACATATACTAAAGACTACTAAGATACATGTTTTCTTGTTTAAAACATAAATCTGACTAAATTTAATGAGATTTGTGCATTAAACAAGAAAATAGAACTGCTTAATATAACTATAACAAAATAAATATCTTTTACTTTTGCTTCTCATTTAGCTATAACTGATATTTTAACTGGAAAACGGCACAAAAATACTAATAAAATGTATGCTATTTTGCATTGTAAAGCCAACATGCAGTCCTACATATATATACACACACACTCACATGCACCATGTCAGACCAAAAAGCAAAGCCAAAAGCTCTGTGAGCAGTTGGTCTCTCAGACAGGAAGCACTGACAGCAGGCTGTGAAGGCTCCTGTGCGTCATTCAGACTTGTCCCTCCATGTTTGTTTTTAGCGTGTAAGTGAAAGCTCTTCCTGGCTTCTGGTCAGAGGGAACGTGTTTGGAATGAAGTGTGCATACAGTAGTGCACTCTTTCTTTGGTAAAAAGTTCTTACTGTACATCTCTCACACCTCAACTCTAGAGGAATGAAGGTGGTTCGGTAGCCAGCAGTGCCCTACAAAGGCAGAGGAATGTAACTACACTCTGTTGAATTAGGCCTATTGCTTCCTACAGATTCCAAAAGTGCTCTATATTGATTTATTAAAACTAACATAAATATTTATTTATTTATTTGCTTGCTTGCTGTGGCTAAAACTGCAATAAAAATATCAGAATATGTAAAAAAAAGAAAAGGAAAAAAAAGCAATTATGCTGCTTCATTGCACACATAAAACATGAATAAATTAAATAAAGCACAAAATAAATAAAAATTATACAGAAATAAATTAATACCCTGCTTCAGACAGTGGATTCATTAATAAAAGAAACATACCTACTCGATGACAATATATCTTATTATGCTATATTGTGCTTCCCAGTGCTTTTTATCGGTAAACGTCAATATTATTATTTTTTTTAATTCTTTTATTTTTATTTTTAAATTTGTTCATTCATTTCTTCCTGAAGGATTTTTATTGTAATTTATTTTATATTGTATATTGCGATTATTGATTTATTAATATTACTGACACATTTTTATTTTATTTTATATTATTGTTTTATATTACTATTATATTATTATTTTATTTCCTTCATATTACATCTAAAGATTAGAAGAAACACTGGAGGAACATGGATGCTACTTATGAAGTGTGTACATAATAAATATACTCGTAGTATTATTTTAGTCTTGAATAATTTGTAACTGTTTGTACTTGGTGTGGACATGTCATGTGCTTTTCTTATTGCTTTTCCGATTTTATCTCTTTGTATTGTCTTAGTTTATTATTATATTTATTTTGATGTAATGTATGTTTTTACCCTTGTACTTTCGTTGTTCTAAAGTTTGCAATAAAAAAGTATAATTTTAATCTCGTAAATCCCGCTTTCACTCATCCTCATGCCCCCTACACACTTTGACTTCCCATAATTCAGTGCGCTCATAAAGTCTTTCGAGAGGACGTTACGATAAGGGCACAGCAAGAGGTAGGCCTCAGTGTTTATTTGTTTAATCTAGCTTGTTGTGAAATTGCTGAATCTCGTGCGATGTTTATTGAAAGCCTTTAGCTTTACTCTTTTGCTAAATTCACGGAATAGCAACGGACGTTCCAGAGGAATGGTTAATTTGAGTTAGTTAGCCAGCTAGCAAACTGGCTACTTAAACCGGTTATATCAAGGTTATGTTACTAAAGTGAATATGTCTGCTGGTTTGGACGTATAATAAGCATATTTTACGTGTTTACAAGTTCACTTCAATTTACATTTACCTCGTTGAAAGTGAAAAGAACTCGTTTAAAATATATCAAGTAACGTAAGTTTAACATCACTACAGCCGTCCTGTGACTGGCGTTAGTTTAAACTGTTACTGAGTGAAATGTCACTCGCAGTCTTCTGCTTTATTACACTGTTAAACTACGACATTTGAGCAGCTAAAGTCCAATTATGTGCTTTATTGAAGTATTTAGTTAATGTTGTGAATGTTTACTGCATTTCACACAGACCCATTATCTTTGACTGAAGATGGCTGATGTTATTGACGACAAGATCAAGAACTACAGAACGGCTCCATTCGATTCCCGTTTTCCAAACACTAACCAGACAAGAAACTGTTTCCAGAATTACCTTGGTATGTACCGTAAAAATGATTATATGACCCTTATTTGTACCCAAAATTATTAGATTAATAAAAACATTGTGCCACAAGTGCTTTGTATTATTTATGAAAGGGACAAGTGTGCTTTACATACAGGCTTGTACACAGTTATAATGAATATGAGACTTCACACAGTGCATTTCAACCATGAGTATTACTAGTATGCTGATCTCACAGATAGATCTTTTGGAGCAACCAGGACTCGTTTTGTTGAAGGTCACATCAGTGGAGAAGCAGGGTTGTCTGTAGTAAATCTCCAGTTCCGGTGTCTCTGCTTGTAGTCTAGACTCTAGTGCAACAAACCCCTGAAGTTCTGAGCTAGAATTGATCTGTATGACTTGATTAAATTGCATTATGAATTGAATAACTCATTATAGATGTCAGGGTTGGAGACTGTATACTATTTCTGCCTGATTTCAGTGTGCATTACTTACTGCTGTGTTTTTCCTCTCAGACTTCCACAGGTGTAATAAGGCTTTGTCAAGCAAAGGGCAGGACACTTCTCCCTGCGAATGGTATCAGAGAGTCTACAAGAGCCTGTGTCCAATGAGCTGGGTGAGTCTGTTCTACCGAAAACCTAAGTAATAGAACCTTTGAGTAAACATGAGAATCAAGATTGACCCTAGTTACCTTATAGACATTCCTGGTGTTATTTTGTAAGCACATGCTTCATTAAAATAACTTGCACTTTTTCATCGCATCGTGAATGTCATAAAGACAGCATGGCAGCTGCCGTATATGATCCTTTCTGGTTTTAAACCCAGATTTTTCGAAATCCAATCTATTCTGGTTTGATAAAGCGGAGTTATATATACAGCAAGAAAAAACTGTGTGCAAAATGCTGCCTAAATAAACTCTTAGCAGATATATATTTGAAATTCTTACACACTCTTTTGTGGAAGTGGGTGAGTGTATAAAAAAAACTATCTCCATTCCTCTTTCTTGTTTTATGACTACAGGTCAGTGTGGTCGATCTGTTTCTGGTCAGTTTTTTTTGTTTTTTTTTTCATGACAGTGTGAACAGCACAAGCTGCATGGAATCTGATCTTTTAATTTCTGATTTTGGCCACTTTATTATGTGGTCCTAAATCAGATACAGGACTGATGTTTTATAGTGCAACATCACTCTACATCGACATTTGTCACAATTCTGTGCTGCTGGGAGTGACTCCAAATATTTTACTGACCTGTAGTTCTTTGGTCACTCAGTCAATATAAAAAGCAAAGCTTGAAGGAAAACTACACACACACACAACTTTGTTTTCTTTCTCCTCATTCTCGCTGGTTTCTGTGGCACATAGACGTTAGAAATGCATAAAATGCTGATTTCAGTGGCCTGCGTTTGTATGACAGGGTGCTGTGTGCAATCTGTGGTGTTTGTTCTTTTGCACATGCGGGTCATTTCAGGAGTGTGACCAGTCTACACTCAAATTTGATATTGGCCATGTTAGAAAAAAAAGGAAATCAGAATTTAGGTTTGCACTGAGAACGTAGCCTTAGATGCTTTCTAGAATAAATCTCTGAGACATAAAAAATCATTAGTGAACGTTTGCCTGTCTATAATTGGAATCTTTATTCTTTATCTGAACTGTCATCCTCAGATCTTCGCTCTAGATTTGGCTTTATTCTGAAAATAAGTTCAAGTTCATTTTCTTTGTCACCTTCAGATTCTAACAGTTTTGCAAACAAAGATGAAGGTAGTGCCAAGAAGTCTTCCACAACAGGCTGTAATATTTTTGCTTTCATCTTGCAAACTGTCAAGTGTGACTATGACGTATTTAAAGACTCTACAAATAAGGTATTACGGTGTATGTGGGGTTGATGGGATTGATGTAAGAATGTCCAGACTCGTGTACGTTGTTGGCCATGATTGCTAATACTGTTACTGGAACCCTGTCCTTAGTTTGTTCATCACAGGTATCGTCCTTCTGAATTTGAGTACCACTTTGAACTTTTCAGTATTTGCAATCAAACCAAAATAAACTGGTTAAAAACCACACAGACTCTTCTTTATATCAGGTATCAGACAGTTTTGCCAGCGGGGTTCTCATGATCCCTATTCAAAACTTATAGCTAAGCAACTCTGTTAAAAAAAAGAGCTAAAATTAATTTTCTTCTATCAAAGTATAATTGCTATTTCCCTTCAGCAAGAGACAAGCAATCATTGTGAAAATTGATGAAATGTGAAGGTCTGCTGGAAGTTGTTTGATTATACAATGTGTCTTTGTTTTTCCTTCCTTCAGGTGGAGAAATGGAATGGGCAGATTGAGGATGGAAGCTTCCCCGGAAAGATCTAAATGGTTGCTGTTACTTTCAATTCAAGAGCTCCCAACCTTTTGTTATTGGTTTGCCTGCTGGAGGATGAAGGGTCATTCAGAGTGGGCTTTGGAAACCTTCAGTATTTTGAAGTCCTACATTAGCATTTATCTTTGTCACTCTACATCCTACTGTTGCAATTTACAAAATAAAAATGCACAATTTCATCTAAATTGTTTTGTATTTGTTTTACTAAATGTTAAGTTTTTTTGTCGTCTTAACAGTGGAAACAAATTATGGTTTATGCAAACAGTCTTTCTAAGTTATTCATTAACCACCAAGTTCAACCGGCTGAAAATTGAGTCGCTTAGTGGCTTTTTGAGGTGTGGAGTTGAATAATATCTACTATATCTGTGAGGTTTAAAAAAAATGTGTCAGTTATTTGTATGCGATGGTCATAAACCAGGGTAAACGCTGCTGCTTGCCCTATTTAATTAACACTAGTCTGACGATACTGAATTTAGCCATATAGTGCTCAAGCAATGATGCAGAGGCTGATTTAGTTTGAACAGACAGCATGAATTTACATGAAATCCGTGATTAAGGAATTAGACTGTTCTGCAAGTCGTTACCCAGCATTCTTTAAACGGCTGTTTAATCCTATTTGACCATTGTGCTTTTCAAACAGCAGATGGCGGTAAAGTAGCATAAATTAGTCCCTCAATGTGACGGCAACAGTTACTAATACAGTTAAGATGTAGCAATTGCAGTGACTATACTGATTGCAGTACCTAGAAATTCCTCTCTTTCTATATATTTCTAATATTTTACGCAAAACATGAGGACAAAAGGTCAGAGGTTGGTCAGATTAGGTTATCCAGCAGATGCTCTGCAGTACCAAATGTCTTACTCAAGGACACACAGGAACTGCAGCAATCAATATGTAAACTTATTAACTAAATTGTATAATTTACTCACCCTCGTGTTGTTCCATACCTGTTTGAATTTCTTATGTTGAACACAAAAAGATATTTTGAAGAATGCTGGTAACCGAACAGTTGCTGGTAGACATTGACTTTCAAGTTCAATGTCAAGTATGGAGAAAAAAATCTTTAAAAATCAGTGGCTACCAAATATCATCTTTTGTGTTCAACGGAAGGAAGAAATGTTATTAATTAATGTTATTGTTATTAATTCATGTTCACAATGCAGTGATCTTTGTTATAATAGCTGTCTTGGTCAAAAGAGGACGATATCCGCTTCGTCATGCCAAGAGCTGATCCGTGCTGGTCGCTGAGGGAATACATCAACTTTGCGCTGTGAATCGCCGCTTTCACCGTGGAGGAAGCGGAGTCCAGCCCGGGGTCATCACGTGTGGTTGCCGCAAGCCCACCGGCCACTCCTTTCGTCGAATCCGTTTATCCAAGTTCTCATCTTGCCCACTGATCTACTTTCATATTTATATAGATCAGTGAATTTGCCATTGTGATGCCACACATGGGCCAGCTGACCCAGTGCATTATGATTGGCAAAACACCACAAGCACGCTCGGAAATGTAACGCCCCTTACCATAATCGCTTCAGCTTTCAAAGTAAATATCAAGACAGTTAATAATGTCGTTAGTTTTACCATCAGTTCAAGCCCGAAAGGGCAACAGAGTCGCGTGAAGGAAAACTTGAAATCGCATCATATGACCCCTTTAAAAGGTTGAGTTTAGTTTATACTAAAAGAAAAAAGACTGCAGTGGCAGGATGCTATCAATAGCTGATCTCAGTTCTCAAAATGTGTTTCCTTTGCAAGTTCCTGTTTGTCTGTCCTAAAAACACAGACAACTATAGTGTTCCGTGTTTTTGTGTATTGTTATATACATTATTACTTTGTTTTTAGTGTAATAATACACTTTATAGGTCATTATCTACACTGCCAGAAACCAAACGCAAATCGATTATTAGCCTACTTTGTAACTTTATGTTATGATTAATAAGTGCATCCAACGTGATAGAAATTAATTAGTAATGCCTTTTTAGCCAATTTCAATGAACAAACGAAAGCTAAGGAGCGTAGGCAACGAAACATTTGTTATCACTAGATCACACACTCGTATGAAGTGCCAGCAAACCCCGCAAATTGTCCGGTCTCGGAAGAGAGGACTACTTGTTTACAAACAAAAAAAGATGGCATTCTCTCACAGAAGCACTCACATGACAACAATAACGGGTTTACTGTGTCACACAGCAACTTTTGGCAAGTTTAAATCTGGTGGGATGCTGCGCCAGAGGAAAAGAGGCGCGAATCACGTTCAGTCTATGCGGCGAATGACCAAATAAGGACATTAATAAACCAGGCTTTGCCTCAAAACCTCGTGAGTGGCCTGCCTAGACGGCGTTTCTGGCATCATTGGCACGTTCTAAATGATGCTCAGATGCTGACTGGGTGGATGCTCACTAGATTTTGAGCCGCGGCGATCATTTCCAACTAAAGGATGTTACGCGAATGTCTTGAGATTAAGTTCTGGTTTAATCCTGCGACTCAGATGTTACAGAAACAGGGGGAGCACTGGCGTGACGCCAAAAAAGTACAACGTGCTGCTGCTCGTGTATCACTCTCCATAAAAGCCACGAGCGCGAGAGTGTTTCATCACACACCAGCAACTACCTGATCGACACAGGAGCTCTGCAAACAAACGTAAATATAATTATTATATAGAAATATAACGGACTATAATTAGCCTTGGAATTATATTTTATTAAAGTAGGCTACTCATGATGCTGCTGCTTCATTACCAACTATTAGTAGCCTAGGCTATTTAAACTGTAAAAAATCGTTGCCTTAAAACTTTAAAATAAGCCTGCAGTAAAGTTCATTGTACTTCTTTGACCACTTTACATTTTATTACTAACTAATTAGAACTGCATGAAGCTGTTAACTAAAGCAAGTTTTATTTTATTCACTGGTAGACTGATTAACTTTAGCTAGATTGATGCAGGATTGAGGATTTGATGTTACAGGACAACCAAAAAGCAATATAGGGTGGATCTTGGGCTGACAGAGATGCCTCTTGTATTTGACTTCGACATTTACTTTGCAATTTGCTTTGCACAATACTGATGCTCTACTGTCATCTCAACTCAGCAGACATCCGTTGCAGGAAGCTGTTTTTTGTCGTTCATCTTGGTGAAGACATAAAAGGATTGTCTCATTCCTTATCATTACTGACAACAACTATTCATATATTTTTTTCTCCCTCTAGAAGCTTTTCCAAATACGGATTTGTGTTTACCCTGAAAACATACGTTTGGTGTCACTGCTAAAAGAGGAAGAACTGACCTGAAGACTTCTGTCTCAATCGAGAGCAGGATGGAGAAGATGAAGGACAGTAAGGTAGAGGCTTTTCTTCTCTGTCTATGTCTTTATACAGAATCAGTGGTGATGTTTAGCTTTCTTCTTTATGATTTCTAAGTAAAGGCTTTACCATCACTATGACCCTTATGAAATAGTAACTTTTTTTATTTTATTTACAGTTTTACTATAGATCCCTTGTGAAAAAGAATGTGCACTAGTGTAATATTAAAAGTATTTTTAAAAACTGCAAATAATATTTGAACTTCATGACTGTTTCTTAACACACTTAAGTACTCTTTTACAAAGTGCACTTTTTAAAAAAAATTCTAATTAAGTTTAACTTTATTCTTTGAAATCATTTTTTGCTTTAAAGAAGCACACTTATTTCCATGTGTTGAATAACATACATTCATTGTTACTATAGTGTATTATTCAATATTACTAAGTAATACTAAGAACTAAATTGCAAATTTATCATTAAAAATTAGTAAATAAATACAAATATATTTTAATACATCACTTACAAGTTTCAAGAGAAATGTCATTAAAATATATTATAGTTTACCATAAATGCATGTCAGTAAATTTGACAGTACACTTTAATCATGCAATCATCATATAATCATATTTCAAACACAATAGAATAATGAAGTTACATATAAAATCCTGCTTCTCAAAAAAAAAAAAAAAAGTCAAAAAAGCACTCTAAAGTTGAGCTAATTACATTTAATATAGATTTAAACAATTATACATTTTCATTTAATTGCAGATAACATCCGATTAGGTTACTTTCAGTTTGCACTTAATAAATACTCGTTTAAAGTTATATGCTAAAGTGTCCTTTTTCAGGGATTACATACAGAAATCATGGTGTTTAATGTAATACGCATAATCTGCATATTTTTATGGCAGTTGGTTCCTATGTTTTCATAACATGTACCATAATTTGTGATATAGGTGTTACTATGATCCCGTATACAGGAAACTGTGGTTACCATGCAAGAACTGTAGTAAACATTTAGGGGACGCCCATGGGCATGTGGTGTAGATTTGAAATGTTGTCATTTGTTTTTAATTCTCTCGCGATTTACATGTTGATTGTGGACCATTTGTGTGTAGCTAATGTGTTGCATAGTGGGTTTACGGAGATATCCTTAGGTAATATCTGTTCAGGCTATTAGTTTTCAATTGATATGACTCATCACCTAAATAAATATAAAAAATACAAAGGTGGTAGTGGAACATTTTTTGACCTGCTTTGTCATCTTGGATTGCAGCATGTGAATTAAGAAACCAGGATGTGCAAAGGAAACCGACAAGGAGAAATGAATGTTTAGAGCAGGGTTCAGCTGGCATGTTCAAACCTGAACATAATATGAACAGCATCCTGACCGGTTCTTACTTGTTGTAGAATGGACAGACAGAATGGAAATTTCCAATCCGAGTGTGCCAATTTAGCATCCATTGCAGCTCATTACAAATCTAAGTGTGTTGATTTCATAAATAAATATGTGACCCTGGACCACAAAACCAGTCTTAAGTCGCTTGGGTATATTTTTAGCAATAGCCAAAAAAACATTGTATGGGTCAAAATTATCGTAAAGATAAATGTTCCATGAAGATGTTTTGTAAATTTCCTACCGTAAATATATCAAAACTTAATTTTTGACTAGTAATATGCATTGCTAAGAACTTCATTTGGACAACTTTAAAGGCGATTTTCTCAGCATTTTGATTTTCTTGCACCCTCAGATTCCAGATTTTCAAATAGTTGTATCTCGGCCAAATATTGTCCTATCATAACAAACCATACCTCAATGGAAAGCTTATGTATTCAGCTTTCAGCTGATTTTCATGATGTATAAATCTCAATTTCAAAAACTTGACCCT